GGGTTTAGTTAAAATAGATAGTTAGGATGTGACATAAGAAGATTGTTGTATCTTCTTATATTTCACCTTTATGATTGCTAATTTTGGATACTTTACACTGTTAAGTTTTAATTCTCTTTTAGACTAAAAGGGGAATTGTAGGGGAACCTGTAGCCACGCCTGCTTAGGGGATAGCTACAGGTCTGCCTGACCACGCCTGCAAGGGTGATGTAGAGTAAGAGTTTCAGTTGGCTGAGTTTCTGCTTTCAGTTTTCACCCCCTTTCGGCTTGCGTACAGACTGCTGCCATGCAGGCTGGCTAGGTAGCTCTGTAAGTAAGGCTTTTCCCTATTAAATACCCTTGTATTTCTACTGGACTCCATATTGGTAATTTCCCACTATACAGACTCTACCTTCTTGTTCCCCCATTTCCTCCTCTCCCCTCTTCTCCACTTCTCCTTCTGCCAGCTCCCTCTCCCATACCCCCATGATCCCAATTAACTCAGGAGATCCTGTCCTCTTCCCCTTCTCTGGAGGACCATGCATTCTTCTCTTGGGGTCCTCCTTGTTTCCTAGCTCTTCTGATGGTGTGGATTGTAAAATTTATATATCAGTGTACATATATCAGGGAGTACATACCATGTTTGTCTTTTTGTGGTTGGGTTACCTCACGCAGGACAGTTTCTTCTAGTTCCATCCATTTGCCTGTGAATTTCAAGATTCCATTGTTTTTTTTCCGTGCTGAGTAGTACTCCATTGTATAAATGTACCACATTTTCTCTATCCATTCTTCAGTTGAGGGGCATCTAGGTTGCTTCCAGGTTCTGGTTATTACAAACAATGCTGCTGTGAACATAGTTGAACATATGTCCTTGTTTTATGAATGTATATCCTTTGAGTGTATGCTCAGAGAGGAATTGCTAGATCTTGAGGTAGACTGATTCCCATTTTCCTGAGAAACCACCATACTGATTTCCAAAGTGGCCATACAACTTTGCACTCCCACTAGCAATGGAGGAGTGTTCCTCTTTCTCCACATGCTCTCCAACATAAACTCTCAGTGTTTTTGATTTTAGCTATTCTGAAAGGAGCAAGATGGTATCTCAGAGTTGTTTTGATTTACATTTCCCTGATAAATAATGATGTTGAGCACTTTCTTAAGTGTCTTTCAGCCATTTTAGATTCCTCTATTGAGAATTCTCTATTTAGTTCTGTACTCTACTTTTTAATTGGATTGTTTGGTGTTTTAGTGACTAGCTTCTTCCTGTACAATAAAGGAACTTCTGGAGGCATCACTATCCCTGACTTCAAGCTCTAGTATAGAGACATAGTCCTGAAAATAATGTGGTATTGGCACAAAAAAGACAGGTAGACCAATGGAATCAAATTGAAGATCCAAATATTAACCCACACACCTACAAACACCTGATTTTTGAAAGAAGCTAAAATTATACAAAGAAAAATATCTTGAAATTCGCAGGCAAATGGATGGAATGGAAAGAAAACATCCTGAGTGAGGTAACCAATCACAGAGAGACAAGCAGGGCATGTACTCACTCATATATGGATATTACACATAGAGCAAAGGATTACCAGCCTACAATCCACACCATCAGAGAAACTAGGAAACAAGGAGGACCCCAAGAGAAGAACACATGGTCCCCTGAAGAAGGAAGGGGGACAAGAACCCCTGAGCAAATTGGGAGCACGGGGAAGGGGGAGAAGAGGGGAAGGGGAGGGAGAAGGAGGGCAGGGGAGATCAGGAGGACTGAGACATGGGAGGAATAGAGGAGGACAAGAAAGAAGATGCCTTGATAGAGAGAGCAAGCATATGTTTGGAGAGAGGTCTGACACTGGGGAAATGTTCAGAGATCCACAGGGATGACTCCAAAAAAGAATCTAGGCAGTGATGGAGAGACTGACTTTGATGCCCTCCCCCTATAATGAGACTGATGACTACCTTGGTTGTGGTTCCTAGAGCCTTCATCCCATAGCTGATGGAAGCAGAAGCAGGCACTCACAGCTAAACACTGAGCCATACTCCTGGAATCTAGTTGTGGAGAGGGAGGAGAGCTGAGCAAAGAAGCCAAGACCATGCTGGAGAAATCCGCAGAAACAGTTGGCCTGACCTCATGAGAGCATGGGGACACCAGTCGTAAAGCTGGGGAACCAGCATTGGACCAAACTAAGCCCTCTGAATGTGGGTGCCAGCTAGAAGGCCTGGGCAGTCAATGGGACCTCTAACAGTGGAGCCAGTTTTTATCCCTAGTGCACAAATGTACTTTGGGAGACCATTTCCTATGGAGGAATGTTATGATAAATCTTTCTGCCAAAAGCCGCTGAGCCCCACTGCCATGTGTAAGCTTTACGCCTGCCCAAGTTAGGCCCAAATGAATACACAGAGAGACTTGTATTAGTTACAATGCTGCTTGGCCAATGACTAGGATTCTCATCTGTTAGCTCAGTCTCAATTATCATACATCTATATATTTTATAAGACTTATCTTATCGGACACCTTATTGGCGTCCCTCCTAGCTGGTGGATCACATCGTGCCGCTGGAGCAGGAGCCGAGGGGAAAGAGAGCGACACTTCCTTTTTCCTCTTCTTAAATATGAGTCTCCTTGCTATGTCACTTCCTGTCTGGAACATCACTTCTCTACTACATTTCCCAGAATCCTCTTTGACTCCTAGTCCAGCCTAACCTGCTGTCTCATTGGCCAAGCAAGTACTTTATTTATAAACATACACAGAAGTATTTCCCCCATCAGAGGAATACTATTGCAGCCTGGATACACTAAAGAGGGACTAGGACTTCCCCCAAATGATGTTATAGAGTTTGATTGTTCCCCATGGAGGGCCTCACTATCCTTGGGGAGTGAGTGGGGGTGGGTTGAAGGGTTGAGGGGGGAATGGGAGGGCCAGGGAATGGGGGGATTGATATGTAAAATAAGATGGTTTCTAAAATGAAAAAATAAAGCATCTTCAACAAATGGTGCTGGCATAACTGGATGCTGACATAAAGAAGACTACAGATAGATCTTTATCTATCACCATGCACAAAACTTAAGTCCAAATGAATCAAAGACCTCAACATAAATCCAGCCACACTGAAGCTCTTAGAAGAGAAAGTGGGAGGTACCCTTGAACAATTGGTACAGGAGATTACTTCATGAACATAATTCAAGTAGCACAGACACTGAGCTTGACAATTAATAAATGGGACCTCCTGAAACTGAGAAGCTTCAGTAAGGCAAAGGACACAGTCAACAAGATAAAACAGAAGCCTACAGAATGGGAAAATATATTCACCAACCCCACATCTGACAGAGGGCTGATATCCAAAATTAATTGTTTTTAAAAAGAGAAGAAAACAGCAGAGAGAGACACAGGGTGGTGGTCCCAGCCTATCAGGAGGCTGAAGAAATAGGATCAAAAGTACAAGGCATGCCTGGGCTAAAGTGTGACTTCAAGTGCAGCCTGGGCAATTTAATGAAGCCCAGCCTCAAAGTCAAAAATCAAGAGAAGACTAGAAATGTAGCTCAGTGATAGAGTACTTTCCTAGCCTTGATGAGGCTCTAGATTCAACCCTCACTACTGCAAAGCACAAAAATGAACATAAAATAGGAAACAAACTGTGTCTGGAGTAGTCCATTCATAGCCTCCATAGTTCACGATGTCACTGTGGGAATGCGCAGAACCATTAAGTACATAAA